CTTCTCCACATATTTGGCCGATCGCTTCGTTCCGGTCTTGACCTGCTCATGATGGATCGCAACGAGGGCCACTCCACCCCCGACCTCTCAGTGTGACAGGGCTCATGACAAAACCTGAAAAGTACAAGCTACACGTTTTTGGCGCTGTCACACCCTATAATATATAATCCTATACAGTATGGTACAACAAAGCCATAGATAGTCTATATATTTTATATAAACATTCTGCCGGCTGTCATAATCTCCAAGACTAGCAACCGTCCCTCCAATCCGTATTCCGTGCATGGAAGAGATTGGGAGCCCGGGCAGCCCCGGCGCCCTCCGGTACATGTAGGCCCACGCGCTTCTTCTGCTGCAAGGCATCTGCACCTGGGGATCCGGGAGAAGGGTGAAGATGGGTGACGTATGGCGGCGTATATTTCCACACATGCCAACCTGGCCAAGTCTAAAAGAGTGTTCAAATGTCTTCAGTCTTCGGATGTCTTCAGAGATGCTTGGTGTTTTCCTCATGTTTCATCATCATCATAGAGCACTTCATATAGATCGAGCTAGATTGCTTTCGCGCCCACTTCCAAGCCCAGGCCCAGGGAACTTCGTAAACACCAAAGGTCTGTAGGGATCGATATAACAATGTCAACATCAATAGTGTTCAAATGTGTTCAAGAACTCATGATCAGCTCAACAGATCCAAACAGCTGAAACAAGCTGCGTTTTTCGTCGTCGCGGCGGTTTGTGTCTGGACTCTCACTCCATTCCCTGGAGTTGCGGGCGGATCTTATCCGCAGCTGACTCCACTCCAAGCTCCTCTTCGCGAGGACATGGGCCTAACCTCGCCACCGGTCTGAGTGGACTTGCCGAGGCCCCAAACGGGACGATCTCCGATGGGGATATGCAGGCCGCCCTATGACTTAAAGACGAAAGAACTTTCCAAAATGATCAAAACTGTTCACGTGTACTTTTAAACACCAACATACTTTAATATACTTTATATACAGTAGAAGCTTTACCTAGTGTTCTGCGTCCGAAAAGATATTTAAAACAATCAGTGTTTTCCTCCACGCAAGACTCTTTTCTTTGCGGCCCAGCAGTCAGTTGCAAATTATAGACACGCTGGCACAGCACACGACATGAGTTTGAATGAAAAGTATAGGGAGACCCCATGAGACCCTCAAAGAAAGGGTTTGTGGTAATTTGGGTCTCCAGATAATCCGGGATTCAATCACATATCGTATCACCTGGTTCACGACACCGTTCACGGTCCATCTTCACATGAATCATTGTGACATCTTCATGTGTAACACACTTGTGTCGTGTAACACTTGTGACATCTGAGGTCCTCCTTGATGTCATCTAAGATCTCGTCATATTGAAAGACCTGCCGATATGAAGAGACGATCGATCGAGATGATCGATCCTTCAACGTCGATGAGACGACCCGTGAACATCGAGAAGTCATGAAGCAACTTAAGGAGATGAAGAGATGATTTCATGTTGATTTCATAGTTCTTTTATAGTTCCTTGATGTTCTCTTTGTTTCCCATCTGTTCCCCTTGTTCATCTAGTTATTCTCAACAAATATAAGGAAAACAACAGTCGCATGCAAGCTGCGAATGATGATGACTAACAAACCACACACAGACTGGCTTGCTAGAGGAACCTTTGGTCATATGCTGAGGCTTTCTCTGCGGGGGCCACGCTTGGCCGGCCAAACAGCAATCCTTCCCGTCTGCCGGACAAACGCCCGGCGCGCCGTGGGATCGTCCTCCATCAGTTTCTCCGCCTGTTTCTGTGCCTGGCAATGGGGGGGCCTTGTGATTTCCGGTGCTGGCCAAGATGGCATTTCGACGAGTGTGACATATTTAGAACTCGATTCTAGTGGCTCTAGTGACATCGATGCACTAAGTCGGCTTGGAACATCTCCAAAAGTGTTCTTGCTGGGAACTGCCTCTGACTACACCGCGACAGGATGCAGGATGCAGGTAAAAACACGTGTGGGCCGCGCGGAGAAAACACACGTGTGGCCTGGCCTGTGCCGCCTCTGGAGTCAGTTTCGACCAGGAGGGCAAGTTGCTCTTCTTCTCTTTGTCCTGCCCCAAGTATCAGAATCGTTTTCTCTCTAAAAACCGTGGGTGGGGATAGGGTGGAATCACATGGAATCTTTCCTCACCAAGTCGTAGAACCCGGAGATGCACAACCAAGCGCGGTGTGAGGGATGCAAAACACCTGATGTTCCACCTTGGAGCAAGTGCCAACGATGAAAAAACCTCTGACAAGCACAAGTCTCCCTCTTTTCCATGCAGCTTGGACGGTGGATGTTCGGCCGGGCATCCGAATTGAGTGGGTGATCTGTCAGCCTCTCCTCTCGATCCAGCGATTCCTGGAAGAGGGCCGCCACACCAGCTTTGGCCTCTGGACATGTGAAGGTTGAAACCCGTTGCGACCCGGATCAAGAAAGTGAACAAAAAGGGTAAAGGAACATGGATCAGAGTTTCAGGATTCAATGCCTGCTCGCGAATGGTGCAACATCTCCATTGCACCAGAAATTACAGGAGCCGTCTCGAGATGTGTTCAGTGTCCCTTGGAACATGTCGAAGCGTTCAGTTTCTCATGCGGGGAACAAATGAAGGGGAGGCGGGTACTACCTTAGGAAGTCTAAAGCAAAGACTTGTGCAGCACCTCCCCATTTGGATTCTGCATAGACGTACTGATATATTCAAATCAAATACAAAATAAAGAGTTCTATAGACAAATTAATGGTAGTGTACGTGCAAGCAAAGCCCAAAGGTACTCAATCTGTTCACCCACTCGGTTCCGATTCAGAAAATGACCTTGCCTGGGGTTTCTTGGCCGGCTTGGAGGCGGCAGCCCTCAAAGCCGGTGCCAAAAACGTCAGCAAACGACCCATGTTGGTCTGGAGAACGACCCTCGAGCAACCCATTGGACCCGGGTGAACTCCGATTGGGAGAAGCTCTCAGGTGATTCGCAAGAGCGAATCAACCGGATTCTATGATACATCACTTGGCTGCTTGAAACCCAAGAGACCATAGACCATACCGTTTACTTTTTTTGGGAACATATTGTGGCAGTTTTGTGGGAAGGGGCAAGTGCTCATGAGAGGTATATTTTGTGAGTTTCTGAAACATTTACAGTACGTTGTTTATACAAGTTTGAAGAGACTCCCCACTTCAGGAGATCGCGAGCTTCAAACCCGAAGAACCATTAGAAACAATAAAGCCAATGATTCAACATGACATATCCGAAACCAGAACTATCTCACTAAAAATACATGTTCACCACATTTCACCGCGGTCTGTGAGTGTACAATAGAAGCTCCTGGTTTCGGCCCAACTAGTGGTGCAAAAGAATGCTTTCAACAAAAATCAATCTTCGACTCAACCGCTCTGTCCGAGGCAACAATGGAATATCACCCTCTATTATTGTTTCTGCACCCTGCTGAATCCCTCTTGCCAACATAACTCGAACATGCTCCATTTCCAAGCTGCTTTCAGTTTTGAATTGAAATGACATTGAAAGCCAAGGAGTTCGACACCAACAAGTCCTATATGACTTCGATAGTCAACCCCCCAACGCTTTCGCTGGCCTGGTCGACCCCACTGAGGTCGCGCACCCGCCGAAGCCGAAGCCCTTGAAGCCTTTCCTTGGGACCCACGGTGGGTCAAACCCGGGTCCTGACCGGTATTTGAGGCTTATCGTGTTCTGACCAGAAAATGTCAGGTATGTTCAGTACCACTAGCCTCTGCAGAAGTGCTGCCAGCGTTTTGTCTATTGATGTCTATTGCTATCCCCCTCTCACAGGTTTGAATCACCAAAAACAAAGCCTCCGGGCTTTCCACACTACTTACAAAAGGTGGCAATCCATAGGCAAACAGGTGTGATGTTGCAAGCATCAAAGGTGCCAACTCCTACACAAGTCAAAGCCAAACAAGTCAAAGCCAAACTTCTAACGCCTCCAGAACCAGCCAACTGCCGAACCTAAGATCCCGTCAAGTCGGTCTTCTGTGGCATCATCATGGCGTCGGTCTTCTTCGGCCAGTTTCGTAAACGGCGTGCCCACGTGACGCGGTCCGCGTGTGGTCTCTGATGCTTCTCTGGTGTCTACAGATTGGTCTGGGTGAGAAAGCATGCTGTGGAGATGGCACCGAGGCCGGGCTTGCGATCTCTTCTTTCTATTCAACTCTGGTCTCAACCCCGGCCTCGACATGCCTGAAACTTACAGCAAGTGGCAGTCGTAGTCAATGGTCCTATAATGTCCTATAAGCCTATAATGGTTTAAATGGCTAACTCAGCTCCGCTAACTGTTGATGGACCAAATCCAGTGATTTGAATAGCTACTTCTGCCAACTGTTGATGAACCGAATCCTGGATGAACAAAGATTCCCTACAAAAAAAAAAACTATCAACAGATTCGTGACGTGGACATGCGGTTCTGGAGTGTGTGACTGACTCCCTTTCGCGGAACGTGTGGGCCTAGCTAGGCGGCTTGGATGGGTGATTAGGTCGTGAAATGCTGAGAGGTCTCGAGCCCAAGAAAGCCAGCTGTCGTTAGTCTGGATTGGTCAGTGATGTACGCAGCGTACGCCGCGTACTCGGCTGTCAGCTGTGGCGGGACCGAGGGCACCTGTAGGGAGTCGAGCAATTTCACTTGTCAGGTGACTTAGGCAAAGAACAGGAAGATGACCGCAAAACCGAAGTGTGAAGAACAATCTTGCATGGTCAGTTCCACAGTCGGTACTGCCGAAGTCTTGATGCTATGACCAATGGCATCCAAGGCCCGTCTCTGTACATTGTTCCAGCCACACTCTCCCAAGTGAACCTATATAAAAGCCATTGCAACAGGGGTCAATCTATGTCAATCTTAGAGGAGTGTATCTGCCTACTAACAACAAGCTACTAGGGGCTCCTGGCCTTACTACTAGGAGCAAGGACGCTACTAGGGGCTCCTGGAATTACTACTAGTAGCATTTCTACTAGTAGCACTCCTACAAAGGCCCTGCTCCACCAATCCTTCTATATTTAGAGACTCCTGGAGCACATCCTTTTGGCACTCGAGACTCCTGGAGCGCTCCTCCAATCGAGTGTCCATCATGTTGCAGCTCAGGAATGTGGATGTACCTAGCCGGCCGCTGATGGTGCATGTCACTTTTCTCTTCATTCATATACAGACTTCCATGTGGATTCAAAACGGTGTACCAGGGGCCCCTCTTGATCTACACCCAAGGAACCGCACCCAAAAAACAGGCTGTTGACGGCTGTTGGGGATAATCCCCACGATCTTTCATAAGAAGTGGTACGCTGCTCTGTTCTGCTTGTGTTTTCTCTTGTCCGTTTGCTTTGTGCTACGAGCCGATTGATACCTATGTATAGTTGGGCTATAATAATCCAGATCCCCCCCACATCTAAACCTAAACGAAACACGAAAGATCAAACTTTTCTCAGGATCTCTTGGAGTGTCACTTCTGTGATCATTACAATCGGCAGTTTCTAAAGAGTCTTGTACTGTAGATAAAACTATATGAAACCAATAAACCTGATCTACAACCTGACTAACATTGACAAACATGTTTCATCATGTCCTTAAAACTATATATCAAACCGACGCCTGCCGTGTGTGAACATGTTTTGCAATGCAACTCTCCGGCGGCGTGGGGTCATTCGGAATCATTCGGCTCACGCGTTGGTGCCGTGGCCCAGCAGTGTCTGCATGCGCAGGTCGCCTCCGAAGTACCGGGCGGTCAGCCTCCGCAGGCTCTGCACGCGGGAAGTATGTAGTGGTGTAGCTAGGCAGAACTGATGATCGAACCTGGCAATAGTTTCAATTACATTGGCACATCTGCGTCATCTGAGATATGAACTCATGAAACAACATGAATGTTGGGAATCTGAAATTGACCGTCACTCCTGGTGTAGCGGTTCTGTGGTTCTGCTTTGTTTCTCCATAGGAAAAAAACCAACTGTTTATCATCCCAAGATCAAACGAGAAAACCAACTGTTTATCATCCCAAGATCAAACACTGGGTGGAGCGTTCTGTCCGGTTCGGTCGACACACACAAAGGCCTGGCCAAGGGCAAGCCGAACCCCAACGGCAACCGCATTGTTGCCTTTGCCACCTGGGCCTTGCGACAACTTCGACCCGACAAAACCTCCCATCGCTGGATGCAGGTCATATCGCAGGCTGTAGGTATTGATGGTGAACGATGGTCAATATGTAGTGGTTTTCATCTCATAGTTCCTTCCAACCGCTTGACGTTGTTAATGACTAGTTGGGGGGTGGACATCTAGTCTCACTCGCCAAAAATACGTCGGTTACCTCCAGGACAACTCACCAAATGTCCATAATATGCAATGTGTCTCATAGAGTCTATTAGAGTGTTGACTCAATATATTTTGCGAGTGGTGACGGTATTGCAATCAATGTCCACTACAAAGACTACATGTGTGTATATTCATCGTCGTTTTGGCCACCATTTTCCTGCAGATATATTATAATGGGTTCTGTGTGCACATCCAAGTGACAATAGCCGAACATTGCGACTCATAGTCTCTGTCGAAAGTCCAACGTCAAACACATTGATCACAATTGTCGACCATGTCTACACTCAGGACCAAGATTTGGTGACATCGTATTTGGATTTGGAGCAGCCGCCCCGACGGAAATAAGTACCCTGCCAACAAAGGTCCGCCACTTTCCAGACAAGCACCCCGAAAGGCCTTGGCCATGAGCGCCTGTGGATCCTGGAGCGTCTAGGGTTCCCAGCAATTGGCAAGTGAGCAAGCATTCGGACACTTGGCGTCAGGTACGTTTTTCTTGACATGGAGCCATAAGGGCTTGGAAGTGGCTGTGAAGCTCAGCCGCCAGGGAGTTCCCGCTCAACCGAGAAAGCGGGTTGGGGAATCCATGCTTCGGCGTTGCACAAGAAGCCTTCTCAATTCACTAGCGGCCACGCTGCGCCCAAACACATATGCTGAGATAGTCCAACTGAATTCATATCTTATCCAATAGGCGCTATATACTGTACATTGTTATCGAAAACAAAGCACATCAGCACATCATTATAATGTAGGAGTCAGTTCAATCTCACCGTTACATACTGAAACCTGGTGACAAAGCCCAAACGAACCCCTGTGGTCTTAGCGTCAGCAATCAATCAAGAATTTATTCCAAATATTGCGCCCTGATGATGTGTTGATGCTTCACAGTCCACCAGCTACCTCAGATGGACCCCAGTCGGGGATGCCTTGCTGACAGTCATTTTCGGCACCTTCTTCACAGCCCCTTCACCCGTCTTCACCATACAGTTGAGCACTAACAGGGGTGGAGGATCAAACAAACATCATCAGGATTCATGATCTAATAAATTCCAAGGGACCGAGGGATCAAAAGAAATGAACCAGCGGCAGTGGCACTCAAAAAAGAGCCTATATGTTTTTTGCTCCTGCCCATAATCTTTAGACGGGTCATGATCGCAGCGAGGTTTAATTTCATTCTCCAGCCAGCAAGACTAAAACGTAAGCCTGTTGCCGTGTGTGCGTGTGCGTCCTCGTCTCGCCCACCCAAAGCCAGACCATGACCGCAATAAGTTTCTCCACTCTCCAGCCGCCAACAAAAACGGAACATGGAGTAGGGCTCCACCTAAATCATCCGATTTTGTGACGCAGGAGTCGGTTGGGGGGAGGGCGCAGCGCCTCCCAGCCACACCAAAACCAACCGCACACGAAGCCAAACGTCTGACTTTTAATGACTTTTCTCCTTCCTTCCTTCCTTAACAATTGTTTGATCTTTTTGGTTGATCCCGGTACTGATTTGATCTTGATCCTAATTCTCCATTTGATACCCATGCCAATACAGGCGTGTTTCAAGGCGGAGTTTCCACCAAACGAGACGAGATGCGACACGACAAGACCGTGCAAGCCCTGGTATAGTCGAACACCAAGAGCTAGTAGTTTCGCCACCGAGCGGTGGATGCTTGGGCTGACTGGGAGCAACGGCTTCAGAGTTGTATACGTTTATTGCAGCGACACAGCACATGCGAGCAGCGATGACAGCATGACGACAGGAAATTAGCTATTTTCTCAGCTTCAAGTCAACCGCGGTTTGCCCCAAAAAAAAGGTGACAGAAGACCAATTGGGACACTTGTGTTCGCCAAAGGTCCAAAAGTGGCCAAACGTTAAACATGGATCCGAATATGGCAGAACATGTCGACATAGTCGGTGTTATATAAGAGGTTCATCTTCAGGGGGCAAAACGAACACCGGTTTGCATGAAAAAACATTGGGAGACTTACATGGAACAAAACGTGAATTCTCTTGTTCCATTCGATTGCCGTACGGGTCAACCTGGCCGGAATCTTTGCTGGCTGCAGAGTATGAAAAAGTATCCTCCCACCACCAGTGTGTTTTTCATTTCGAAGCTTTCGACACAACTTCCAACCTACTTGGTTGTGGAGGACTTGCTTTGGACCAGGGGCAAGTTGGCCTATATAGATCTACTGTATATTTGTATATCGAATAGTATCGAATAGTCGGTCTTGAGCAGGTCTGCTTGCGAGCTGTAGGGATCCCGCCACAGTCTGGAGAAAAGCCTGCAAAGCCCTTGTTTTCAATCTTGACCGGCTTTCCTGTCATCTGGAATGTCCTCCCATTCATCTTCGCTGTCTTCAGCATCTTGCATAACGATTTCAGGGTCCTGACAAATGCCAGAATCAAAGAGAGTAGTGGTTCGCAAAGAGTCAGGACTGGATCATGCTTCATTCATGTTCATTCCAACAATGACTTTGGTGAGAAGCCAACCGACAAGCAATTAACTGCACATTGGGTATATCCCATTACCAGTAACAGTGGATGATGATGGTTAGTAAAGGCCTTTCTCACAAATAGTGACACACCCTAACTATACAGTTAGAGGTCAACATAGTCCACTAGATGAAGCAATCTCTCAAATCGCCGGCACAAACAACCAACACGGTGAAACTGTTCGTCATGGAAAAAATATGAAATACAAGTTACAAATTGAAAAGGAACTGTGTAGAAGGGCGCGATGTCCATGAATGTCCATGGTGTTTTGATGTGTTTTGTGTTCCTTAACCCTACTGCAACTTCGATCGCTTCGATACCTCTGAGGTGCAGTTGGGTCTCCCAAGGCGTTCCGTGGGGACCGACTGGTCCGGCCATTGAAGGTTTGAATGGGACCTTAAGTAGCAACAAACTGCAGGACATATTCGACAAAAGCTCTTAGTTAGATTGGTTGCAACAAACATGTGCTTGGTAGTTCATGAATGTGAATGAGGGCCTGATAGTCATCTCCAACGCCCCCAGGGTCATCCAGGATCACTGGACCGCAGGTCCTTCGACTCGTTCCGACTCCTTCCTGTTTGCTGCCGCTCGGAACCCCACTCGTCCGGTCGTCGACGTTGGAACTCGGTCCTCCCCCCATCTCCAGACCTTGGACATGTCCTGAGAGGTCTCCGGTTGCCAACGAATCGGGACGATCGGGACGACAGGACTCTCGGGACGAGGGGCAGAGGGGCAGAGTGGGGCAGAGTCCTGGGGTCCTGTGACACAAACTCCTCAGAGTGGATGGGTCTAGAGAAATTGAGTGGATGGGTCCTGGATGTTCTGCGATCTGATCTGCGATTCCTGGATCAAGAACATCTTGGCTGCGAACACGTATATAGTTGTAAACAACATGTGCAAAATTCATGTCACCAGCCCTTTGACTCAATTTGAAATTCAATCTCCTGAAGCACAAAAAGCCATCGACACAGGAAAGGCTTAGGCTGGACGCGGCCAACCTCCAGCGACGAACACCCTGGGACCACACCAACACCCGCCCCGTTTTGAAAGCAGCTTGAACCACCAAAGCTCGTACAGTAGTCTCTCTTTTGAACCCAGCTTGTATTGGGCTTTCTTGGAATTCAATGATCTAAAGCAAGGGAGTGGTTCGCATGAAGCATTTCAGTTCTACTTGGGACAGCTTGATTGCTAACATCAAGTTAGATCCAGTTAGCTCCTATCAGAAGCATTGTTGGAATGGTGCAATCCGCGGGAAATTTGGACGCAGCCATCATGACATTTCCTGAACAACTTCACTACCGGACTCAAATAGGAGAAGAGCACCAACAGAATTTGCCATCCAAAGTCGTTTCTCTTTCAGTGATAGATCCTTACACATTTTGCACCATATGAGTATAGAGTCTTCTTTACGGCAGACTGTCCAACAGACCGACCCACCAAACACCCGTGGCTTGGCTACCCGTGCCGAGCCACCGAGATCCCGCCGGCTTCATCGCTGATCACCACAAAGACCCCGAGCCTGGCCGGGCGGCCGAGTGGCCAGAAACACAGAGACCATCTCCTCGAGGCGGCTAGCGGCTAGAGGCTACCCCCAAACATCTTCTGAGATGTGGATCTTGGAAGGTTCATGATGCAGCGTACCCCATTGGAGCACCATTCCATGACGTCTTGAAGGGAGGATAGATATGGGTTTCAATAAACACCAAACAAAAGGTGTGAAAATGGAACATGCTTCAGAATGTTTCATGGAGACCATTGCAAGTTGTGCTCACCAGCCACCAAAACAAAGGTGTCGAACAGTTACCTGCTACTCTGACCCCACATCGTGGAATCATTGCTTACAAACGAGGATGAACCCGCAAACCAAAACCCATCTCAATCCCCGCCATGTATCACCGGATGAATCTGCATCTATCTGAAAAAAACAGCGATATACATTCATGACTGTTTGATATTGTGTGTACTTTACCCTGTTCACCCAAACATTCTGTTCACCGGTATATGTTCCGTTCTATCCTAAAGCCATCTCCTCCGCGGCCGGGACCGGCCTCCCGTGATTGATCCGCACCTTGACCGGCGCCGGCGGCACACCGGAGACCTCTTCACGGCACGGGAAGGGAACAAGCGACCGAGATGTGGATCCAAAATCAGACTCGGTTGGTTTAGGCTCAGTTGCCTCAGGTTCGACCAGGACATCTCCGCGTTTTTCCTCTGGACTGAGTCATACAGAACATCCATGGTGCCCAGAACATCCATGTGTTTTGAGTTCCTGCGACACGAGTCGTTTCAACGAAACGGAGCTCGATGCGCAACTCACGGAGTCATCGCAAAACGGAGCTCGATGCGCAGAGCGTGGGTCTCCCCGACACGAAGAGTCAAAGCGAAGAGTCGATGTTGGGAACCGTGCCAAAGTCGAATCCGACGGACAATCCAGGTGACCAAGTCCTCTTCTTCCTCAAACACTTTAAAAGAAAGACTCTCAAAGGTGAGAACCATGTGAGACCTTCTGAAGAACAGCTTCAATTGGTGTCGGCGGGGGATCCAAACAACTCTCACAGTCGCTTTTACAGGCCTTCTGGGTCTTTTCTGGCATAGGACCACCGACTCTGATCAAAGACCTTCTCAAAGGATGTCTGGAACCCTATATATTCGCCATGTCTGCACCCCTCTTTTCAACACCAACATCCAGTGAGGACTCAGTGAAGACCCGGCCATCTGCAGAAATCCTCGATCTGTGAATGATTCCTGCCGAACCAAACGTCTCTTTTGGTCTCCGTTCTTTTCCGAACAGCGAGTCTGAGATTCGTTATCGCAGATCTATCCACTGCAGCTCTTGTCTGTCTGTCCAAGCACGTGTTGTTCTTTTCTCTGCCTTGACAATGAGTGAGTTTGTTTTTGAAATTGCGGCAAATAATGGTGGTGTTTGTTGCAATCCTTGCACACCTCTTGTGCTCGTATGATGTAACGAATAGTGGAGCAAGTTGCAAAGAAGCCACCATGGACCACTGGGATGTTTGGAGAATCAACGAACGAGCTGGGCGAGCGATGCACCATCTTGGTATGTTAGACAAGAGATGCACCATTGGCTGGACAGATCTTCTTCAGATTCCTTTCAGGAATCATGGAAGCCTATCTTACAAAACAATGAGCACGTCTGCACTTGCTGGATGGAGGCGTAGTCTCCGCCCCTAATAAATCTGATCAAATGCCAACCATGTCCTTTCTATTTGCGCATTCGCGGTGTCGGCCATTGTTTTGTTGATAGATGATATAGATGTTTCATGCGCCAATGCATCAGGGTGTCTCACATATGTTTCAAAAGCCATGAGGATCCAATTGAACGCTGGGTCTGGAGCAGTTGGGACGTCGTCTTTCTGGAGTCTTACACGATACTGTGAGATGAAGTGAGATCTGGAAACCTCCAAAAGCAGTGGAGAAAAGATACGTATGCGCTTTGTGATTCCTCCACATCAGCCAGCTTAGTACTTGGTGAAGAAACTCCGTCGATCCTGGAACCAGGACCTCGGCACTCGAAACTGTGACAATTCATCCCAACGTGACGGACTGGTTCTTGTCCCCTCATAAAATCAAGCGTGGCCCTCGGATTTGTTGGAAACACACGAACACACCACCTATATACATTGCATTGATGCAAGCTCTTTTCCGCTTGTTGAGACCATCATTGGGGGGTTGTTATCCCATTGCATAAAGTTCAGTTTACCTTTTTATGCTCAGTACTCAGCTAGCGATCCCTCCAAACACGTACTGCCAAGTGTGAATGTCTGGATTATGGACAGGTGGTCACTGTGACAAAGCTACTGAGCGGCTACTGTGGTCCCCAAGTGGATACTCTAAAGATCTTTGAAGATTGCATCTAAGATATCTCCCAATCGACTGGACTCTCATCTTTCTCTCAGTTGGTCGTCACACGGTCAGTGGGGCAGATCCTGAAAACCATGGACCGATCAATGTGGACTCACGCCCACATGTTCCTCTTTTCCATGGCTAGGCGGCGCCAGGTTCCCATAGACGTCCGGACGGAGAGGACTGGGGCCAGTGGGTGTGCTGCCTCGTCGAGGATGCAGCGACTCGTTGAGTGCAGGGGTTGGTTGACTCGTTGTCCACTGCAGACTGGGAGGTCTGCGTTTTTGTTGAAAGGATGTAATTGGAGCCCTGAGCATGTTGAGGATTGGGACAGTTTACGTCTCTTATTTGAAGCCAAGCACTTTTCTGGCGACACCCAGTTTGCCGCACTGCTGCACTAAGATCAAAGTTTCACACCCGCGCCAAAAACAGTGGTGTAGCACCAATAAGCCCCTCTGGTCTTCCAGCTAAGCTAGTTCTGAACACTCCCAGTTTGGTGACTTCCCACCTTCAAACAAAAATCAATCGGTATTTTGGGTGTACCCCCGCACCCAGGCTTAAGGGGCAGCACAAATACATTGCCAATTAGGACTCGGGTGAGGATTCTCTCTCTCAGGGGCTGGGAGCCCTCGGAGTCCTGTGGGAGAAATGCTCCAAGGCAGCTTGCACAAGCTGAGAAATTGATGGTTGATCCAATCAAGACACCCCTGCTCATTGGTCACGATGGTTCTTCATCTCCATATTATGCTGTTTTATGTTATAGGCTATAGGCTATCTGTCTATTATGTTCTATTGTTGTCTATTCATCCATAGTCGACCATTATTTACGTGGCACCGTCGCCTCCAAGGGCCACCTCTGAAGAGAGCCGTGTGGACGAGGAGGCTCTGGTCAATGCGGAGCTGGGCCTGCCGTGGACGACACAGTGAAGAATCGAACATGAGAAGGGCGGATGAACACTTTTGAACCAATCGATGGTGACCCCAAACATTAAGAACTCCAATATCCCGTCAGGTGCACATTGGCACAGATTGCCCCAACTTGTGAACTTAAGCTTGGAGCTCGATATGAGCCTCAAGCGCGTCTGTGCGTGCCACCAAAAGTCAACATGGGCGTGGGGGGTCAAATACGGTACTTGGGTACAAGCCCCTGCCCCAAGCAATGTCAGCAACCGAATGAACCCAGTGAGAGTCATACAGTGGGTGTATGATCATAGTCGCCACAAACTCCCTGGACGAAGGAACCTCCATACCCCTGTCCTCGAGACGCGGCTGAGTTTGCTGGAGAGGAAGTCCTGAGCACGGCTCAAAAGAAAAGGACGTGCCCCAATGGCCCCAAACGAGAACCACATTGCATCAAATAGATACCTATGTCAATCTTTGATTTGTGGGTTTGTGGCTGGGTGGGTGCAAATCCTGAAGAACGTGAAAGGATGACAGCCTTGGCTGCAAGTGCACCAACCACATGCTAGCCCCGCAGAGTGGCGAACAACCAGGGCTGTCAGGCTGTGAGGTTCACACATCCTGAACATGGATCATGTGGATGGATATGGCAAATGCATTTGATTCTGGTTGCCTTTGGAAAAAGCGAATCCACATGCTACAACTTCTATATATTGCACGACACGCTTTGAGACATGGAGCACTGTCCGACTTGTGGGTCTATGCTAACGGCTTCGGAAAATGCCGTGGCTTAGGACAATGATATTCCTTGACAGGGCGCTTTCAGTTACCAGTTGTGGTTTGAACTGAACATCATAATGTTGGGAACAATGGTGCGTTGATCCAAAGATTTTACACCATGCACCGCCAGGGGTATGTCCGAACAAAAATCACCAATGCACCCCCTGATCCTTCCGCATCCTGAAAGAAGCGTGTTGCACTTGAGGGTCGGCTGAGACTCGATGTACTAGCACCTTGGACGGGCGGGTAGTTGAGACATGTTGAGACCACCCGGTGGATGAATGTCAGAAAAAGCCTTTAAGATCCTGATATACTGCCCATATACAAAATAATGCAATTATATCACATGTAATCAAATGCGGTCGAACTAGAACTAGAACTAGATCGAAGGTGAAGTCCCGTGGGTGCTTCACGAACTTGCTTCTGCGACCATTCTGTCATATTATTCTGTCTGTTGGTATTCCACTTCTTCAGCTCAGGGCACTTTCTGGCCTCACGGCACTGGCACTAGCTGGTCTCACTGCGCTAGCACTGGCTGGCCTCCCAGCACTTCCAGGCCTCTTGCCGCTGCCAGGGCGTCCACGTCTCAGCCCAGCCGCGCTGGCCGGGCGTGCTCGCTGAGGACTGGGGTCGCCCAGCGTCGAAGAAGGACTCATGGTGCCCGGGCCGGGCGGCTCTGGCGACTCTGGCAGTTCGGGCGGCTCATGCAGCTGCCTGGTGTGAGAGTCTTGCAAGCTGGGTGCAAGAATCTGTCGCCAGGGCTAATTGCAACTGTCTCCACATCATTCAAAAACAAGCTCTGAAGGAACACCAAGCTGAAGGAACCAAGCTCTGAAGCTGAGTAGCCCTGGTCACCATCAGACCACTCTGGCGACCTCACTCCTTTGGACTGTGCCAGTCACCTCGACGGTCCATGGAAGTGTCCTTCCCCCCTGTTGGAAATCCTCAAAACCCTCCAAAACCCGCAAAACCACCATCAACTCTGATTCATAACGATTCTTCTTTTCGGAAGTTCAGCCTGCTCCTGGACTTGACCAGACTACTCTCCAAGAAAAGCCACGCCACGCCCCATGGTGTGGACCCTGAGCACTGAAGACTCCTCGCCTCGAGCTCGTCGGGCTGGGATCGGACCTCTGCGATTGACGCAGCAGGGAGCGACGCAGGTGCGGAGCGAAGAAGGCGGAGCACCACGCGACGAGAGCACGGCACACTAGGCAAAACATTGAAAACAACAAGTATGTATAGAATATGGATGAATATAGACCATTATACTACCCGCAAATGACATAGGAGTTGTGGCACAAGTGAGATGGGCAGCGCCCACCAACAAGTCCTAACTCATGTTGCTTCAGCTAGAATGCAAGACCTCTGCAAAAGGATAAGATAGGAGTTGTGGAACCTCCAGACGGAAAAATAAGTAAAAAAGACAGTGGCCACAGTGGTCCCATCAGTGACTGTGTGACTGTGCATCCGTTGTTTCTTTTCCTCCCACCCTTCCATCTATGAGGTTGGAGGCCATCGCTAGTAACCGCTAGTAGGTTGGAGGCCAGTGCT